CTCACACACACACACACACACACACACACACAGACACTCACTCACTCACTTCTCTATCCCCTTACCCTAAACCTACCCCTCACACAAAACTACAGGCATTTTTAGATTCTCAAAACACTTCCTTCTGTATGATTTATAAGCTTGTTTCCTCATGGGGACCAAAAAATGTTACAAGGACAAGGATTTTAGATATTGCCATTTTTGTGGGAACATTTTGTCCCCATAACGTAGAGTATACCTGAATCACACATTACACATGCCTTATCCTGCAATATCCTCTGTTGTTAGTGTTATAGTTGTGCTGTGAACTTCACCATCCTCTTGTCAATATCACCATCAATTATTAAAGCTTTCTAGTTATCATTTGCATTATAGTTATTGTTACAGTTATTTATTTAGTTAGCACTAATTATCCTAAGTTATTGTTATTGGTCGTTATAGTTATTCATATAGTTATCCTTACAAGTTATCGTTACAGTTATCATTGCAGGTATTGTTAGTTATAGTTGTCCTCACAGTTATCATAACATTTATTGTTAGCTATAATTGTTACAATTATCGTTACTGTTTTTGTTACAGTTGTCCTTAGTTATTGTTACAGTTATCATTACTCTTACTGTTACAGTCATCATTACAGTTATTATAGTTATTTTTACGGTTATCATTACAGTTATTGTTATAGCATTGGTACTGTTATTGTTACTGTCATCGTTAAAGTTATTGTTACATTTATCTTTAGTTTTTGTTACAGTTGTTACAGTTATCATTACTGTTACAGTCATTGTTACCGCTATCGTTACATTTATTTTAGTTATCATTACAGTTATTGTTACAGTCATCATTACATTTATTGTTACTGTCATTGTTGAAGTTATTGTTACATTTATCATAACATTTATTGTTAGTTATTGTTACAGTTATTTTATAGTTGTCATTAGTTATTGTTATAGCCATTGTTTATGTTATCGTTACTGTCATCGTTAAAGTTATTGTTACATTTATCATTACGGTTTTGTTACAGTTGTTACAGTTATCATTACTGTTACTGTTACAGTCATTGTTACTGTCATCGTTAAAGTTGTTACATATATCTTAACATTTATTGTTAGTTATTGTTACAGTTACTTTTATAGTTATCATAACAGTTATTGTTGTAGCCATCGTTACTGTTACAGTTATTGTTACATTTATTATAACATTTATTGATAGTTATTGTTACAGTTACTTTTATAGTTATCATTACAGTTATTGTTATAGCCACCGTTACTGTTACTGTTATCGTTAGTTATTGTTACATTTATCATTACAGTTTTTGTTACAGTTGTTACAGTTATCATTAGTTATTGTTATAGCCATCATTACTGTTACTTTCATCGTTAAAGTTATTGTTACATTTATTGTTAGTTATTGTTACAGTTACTTTTATAGTTATCATTAGTTATTGTTATAGCCATTGTTACTGTTATCATTAAAGTTATTGTTACATTTATCATAACATTTATTGTTAGTTATTGTTACAGTTGTCCTTACAGTTATCAGCATACTTATTGTTACAGTTATCATCGCTGTTGTTATCGTTTTCCTAACAGTTATCATTATAGTTATAGTTGTTGGTGTGAATGGATCACACAGGTTTGTAATGACATGAGATGAAGTAAATGATGACAGATGTTGATCTGTGGGTAAACGGTCCCTCTGCATGAGCTGCATGTGTATTTGTGTGAATGAAGGCATCAGGATCATGTGAGTGTGTAGCGTGTGATGTGTTTAATGTGTGTGTGTGGCAGGAGCTGGTGCAGTACTATCAGGAGAACTCGCTAAGGGAGTGTTTTAAGGACGTGGACTCCAGACTGCAGACGCCGTACAAGCAGCCGGAGCAGAGCGCAGCGCCGCAGCACAGCAACACACGCCACGCAGGTACAGCACACGCCATCCACGCCTCAACACAGATCCAACACAACACACAGATTTATCTCTGTGTGTGTGTGTGTGTGTGTGTGTGTGTGTGTGTGTGCAGGTGTGAGCGAGCGCTACCACGGCACGGCTAAAGTGCACTACGATTTCTCTGCTCGTGACCGTACCGAACTCTCTCTGCGGGAGGGAGACACCGTCAAGATCATCTCCAAGAAAGCTCACAATGGCTGGTGGAAAGGAGAGGTGTACGGCAGGGTACGACACACACAGTTCACCCAAACATCACCTGCTGTCATCATTTACTCACCCTCATGTCTGACTTCATTCGCTCGAGATGTTCAGCAGATCTTTTCCATAAAAAAAATGCACCACAAATGAACGTTTATTTTATTACAGGGTGGAATTTGCCCTCTGGAACTGATTTTGTTTTTTAAAATAAAAAATGCATAAAAAAAACACTTTATCATACCAATTAAAATTCACTGGTGTGGTGAATTTCACTTGATGGTTTACCAGAGGCTCAGACCCAAACTGAATTAGTCATTTATTGGAAATATGATAGACTCCTGATTAAGAAAGTCTTTTGGAGTATCATGAGTGAATGATGAGGGGATGATTTCTGTGATTCAGTAATGAAAGTATGTTGTTCTCCTGTAGGTGGGCCTTTTTCCTTCTAATTACGTGGAGGAGGAGCATTCAGATTACTGCTAACCAATTAACACCTTCATCACATCACACTGATACTATCACAGCCACGTCAGTCGTTTACAGCATCTCAATCTCACCTGAGAATCAGTCAAACGTCCGAATGAATGGGGTTTGCTGGCTTGTACATAGTGTTCTTCACTAGACAAAGTGGATGATTTCATCGTTTCATTTTAAACAGACTCCAGTTTGGAGTGATTTAATCCAGGAGTAGTTCAGATTAAAGTTAACGGTTTGATGGGTTCAGAAGAGTTCGTCAGTGTTTCAGTGGATGTAATGGGGTGTTTTTTTCCTTGAGATTCCAATTAAAGTGGTTTTAAAAGCATTGTGATGTTCAACAAACACAGAGACTTGATCGTACATAAATGTGAGTTTTATTTCCAGATTATATCAAAACAATTCAACTGAACAAATATTCTGATGCCTCGAGACATGATGAAACGGACTTGCTCCACAAACACTGTGTGTGTGTGTGTGGGTGTTAGTGGTGTAATGTGTTGCTGTGTGCGTGTGTTAGTGGTGTAATGTGTTGCTGTGTGCGTGTGTGTGTGTTAGTGGTGTAATGTGTGTGTGAGTGTGTGTGTGTTCTACTGGTAATAGAGCTCGAGGTTCATGCCGTCATGGATTTCATCTGATGCTCGGAGTCAAGGATATGAACGATTACAGATATAAATGCACAAATCTCCAAAAACACCCTTAATGGACAGACTGAATTATATATACAGTATATATATATATATATATATATATATATATATATATATAGAGAGAGACATTGCGGTGACTTTTAGAGATATTTATTTAAGGCCTGTCAAAATACTCTTTCCATGTGCATCTGGTCTCTCAGTGTGTATAAATAGTCCTGCTGTCACAATAACGCTTTACACACATAAACAAATAAAATTGCAAAAACACGAGCTTCACATTTGTGCTTTAAAATGGACATCAATGAGGCATCAGGGTAAATGTGTTTCACATTCACTTATACACACTGAGGAACAAGATCAAATGCTTTTCTGCATCACAGATGCTGTCTGTACAGGTTGAGATGAATTAAAGGAATAGTTCAGACGAAAAATTAGCATTTGTTTAAAATTAGCATAATTAGATTAGGAGGAGTTTGTTTCTTCATCAGGTTTGTAGAAATGTAGCATTGCATCAGTGTCTCAGCAATGGATGCTCTGCAGTGAATGGGTGCCGTCAGAATGAGAGTCCAAACAGCTGATAAAAACATCACAATAATCCACAAGTAATCCACAGCACTCCAGTCCATCAGTTAACATCTGGAGAAGACAAAAGCTGAAACACATCCAGCATTAAGACGCTTTTAACTCAAATACCATAGAGTCCATAATCCATAATAACGCTTCCTCCAGTGAAAAAGTGCATCTCCTGTTGTCTCTCACATCAAAATCCAGCCACATATTTGTTTAGAGTAGGTTTGCCGCGATAGACGGTGCTGACGGTGATACTGGTGTTAAGCCGCAACACCGGTTACGTCACTTGCCCACCGCGTCACCAACCCCCACCGTCGTTTTGATTTTTCATAGTAATAAAAATCATTCAGTTCAGTAAAAGAACAGACACTACAATTAAAAATTGAACGCAGCTGCTCAATGCAGCGTGCCGAACGACAGTCGCATCACAGATCAGAAGTTTCGAAACGAGATGCAAAAGTGAGTCGAGCTGAATGACAAGAAGAGTGAGGTGAGGTGAGACAGACAAGATGATGGCGGATGATTTAGTTTCGAAACGAAATGC